CCTCTCCTCCGTCTATTAAAGGTAGGCAACGCATATGCAATTGCGTATGTCTATGGGCAACGGTCACTTCGCTATCAGTGATTTCAGGTGGCCGCTCGCTCGTTTGCCAACTTATTATAAAAAAAAAAATATTTCATGGAACATTCATTCCTCTGACAATACCGTCTACGTCTTTTTTACAGTAAAATAACATCTCCGCAACATAACGTGAATCTATTTATACACAGGCAAATAATTATATTTTAATAATAGCTGCTATTTTTAATAGACCGATTACTAAAGAATAAAATCTTATAGGAATGAAGATTTCCTATCTCTGTATTTCCTATGATTGGCTCGAATATCCCATTCCTCATCTCTTTTAAATTCTAAACCAAAAAGGTTGTAAGATTGAGTGGAAGGGGCGTTATTTAACATTAAAAGATTTCTCTCCTCATATTATGCCTATATCAATAAGAAAAACTGAATATCTTCTATGATTTGAACTCTGAAATAATATTTTCAGACCAATGTGATGTTTAACATGCATAACATACTAGATTATAACGTTTAAATAATTCAGAGACTTCCGTAGGATAAATCTTACTCAGGAATTAGTCAGTAGCCTGATAAAATATTTACAATGCATTAAACGCTGCAATAGTCGCAAACTTCGGACACGACCACGTTTCTACAGACGTTCTAATTTAAGATGTCTTCCATTTAAATAAACTAAGGTAACTACGCTGGTACTAAATTGCCAGATATATACGCGATTTGTGCTAATATTGCAAGGATAATTGGTGATGCAGCGTTACTGTCCGCTTTACCTGGCAACCCACATTCACGACCGCTGTATTCAAGGCAGAAGTTCTGTAACAAAAATGTACATAATAAAGCAACATTTTCAACTTCAATGAGCAACACTGAATTTATAAATCAAATTATAAATTATGTTTTAAATTAATTTGGAAAACATCGTGATGCAACCTGCATATCTGTGAAGAAACTGAAATGTGTGAAATCAAACAACCCGCACTGGACCAGCGTGGTTGACTATGGCCTCAGCATTCTATAATTTATGGAAAAAGAAGATGAGTAAACATGATGGTTCAATTTGGCCCGCGCTTGATGATAAACAAAAATATCATTAATCATAACTAAATTAACAAATCATATGGTACGGAAATAAACATTAATGCATGTTTATGAAGTCTTCATCGGGCGATGCAATTTGAATTCTTTTACGTTGTATAATAAATTACGTTTTTATGCTTAATTTCCAGTATAGTAAGTCTATCAGCTTCACATCGTTAATAATTTATAAATCGATTTTTTGCAGAAATCGGGCAATCAGTAAAAAAATCAAAGGCACAAAAGAAACTTACCTTGATAATATTGGAAGCCATTCTTTTGAGGAAGGCGCTTGTGAACAAGGCGGCTTCATCACCGCACGACCTCTGCACCGTTTGTTCTGAGCACATCAGGTACTCTTGGAATGAACTGTAAACAATATTTATCATTTATTACCTCGCACTTCTAGTACATGTTTTATGGGATAAAATAACAAAAGAGGATCGGCCAAATGACAGTGCGTTTAAACGGCAGTGTAAGGTTCCGGCAGGAAATTTTTAATACGTAGTCATACACTCAGTACATATGTTTCAGCAGAACCCAACGGCTACAATTTACGCCCATAGAATTTAATATTTATCGCTTATCAACATTAACTGTGTTATGACGTAAACGTTACATTGAGATTCTTCAGTCTACGTCATTTTATGACAAACTAGCTGTCGCCCGCGACTCCGGCCGCGCGGAATAAAAAAACATAATTAGTAGCCTATGTGTTCTCCCAGACTATGTTCAATATGTATGCCAAATCATAGCGAGATCCGTTGAGCCTTTCTAGAGATACCTTCAAACAAACCTCCATCCATCTAAACGTTCGCATTTATAATATTAGTAAGATAAGATCTATGCAAATAACAATATATTCCTACCTAAATATAAAAAAAATAAAGAAATTATCATCATTGTCTGTAGAATACGTAAAATGTAAATCGATGACGCCAATAAATATTCAGAATATCCGTTAAGTGCGTCTTCTAATCCTATCGGATTTGAGTTGAATCTTAATCAGTATTCGAAGGTGAGGTCGATTAGGTTAACGTGCAAAAAAATTTAAAACATCACTTGATATTCAAATTAACGATTGTGACGCAAGTAATTAGAATAATACAACTGTCGTGTTAAACGATAATTTTTTATTATCGTTAAATGTAAGGGAACCGTCTTAAAAGTACCGTGGTAGTCAACTGAACATAATCGTGATATCTCTATTTTTTTAAACGGAATGAATAAGATGAATATATGTTTTGTACAATTGTTTCACTAGTGGAAACTCATTATAGCTGTTCTAGCTAGACTAGTGTTACAAAGACTTGTATGTCGATTCTACATAAGATTTTTGTGTTTTCTTATCTAAGTAAATTACACTGAATTTTTTAAACATATAAAAAGGTCAATTTAGGTAGGAGCCTCCTACGTCTCCATTTTAAAAGAAACATTTGAAATAAAATTGCGTCAACATCAAATTAATTTTTAGTAATTACTATAGTAGCAAAATGTCTGAAAATATTTTTTTCTATATGAGACTTACCAACAGACAGTCCTTAAATGGTGTTCATGATCCACCATTTCGTTATGGTCGGTATGGTATTGGTCGTTCTTATGACTGCTTAGCGTAGTTAATGTAACCTCATACTTCTTGCTGCACACTTCATATTCCGAGCGTACGTTCTTCACGCAATCCGCATGCCTCAAATATTCATCTTGGTACGGTCCTCTTGCACATAGCTCCTGTACTACGTCAGTTATGCCAGCGTATATCCGTCTGAACACAACCTGTTCGTTCTTCTCCATACAAACAGCGGTATAGTTGTCAATGCATTTGATGCCCGCTCGAAGCTCTCTGTGACAAAAGAATATATTTAGTGTAAAATCTTAAATTGAAACATACGAGTAGATTACATAAAATAACAGACAGAACATAATTTTAACACAGTCCCATTTATGAAATCGTTTCCGCTTTATCAAATCGCATTTATACAAGAAACTATTATTTCATTGTTCATCAAAACTCTTGTGGGTTAAAACTTACTGACAGTCATTCAAACTTGTCTCATCAACCATTCTGAGTGTCAATCAAACACCGCAGTTGGACAGTTCAGTCGGTTGAAATTACAAAATTGGTTAAGATCAATAAATTATCAGTTAATTGAAATGTTAAAAATGAATAAAGATTGGCAAGGAAATTGTATGATATAAAAGTTTGTTCAAATGGGAGACTTTTCACTGCTTACACTTTTGTATTAGCTGGCGTGAAGATATCATATGATATAAGATAATAAGCCTGAATGTGGATGGCTACAAAGGTAGAAGAAGACCAAAGAGAGTATGGATGGATTGTGTGAAAGATATGCGTAAGAAGGGGGTAGATTCAAATATGACGGCTGTTAGAGATGTATCGAGTAGTACAAACTGTGTTGACCCTCCGTAGGGATAACGGCAAGTTGATGATGAATGCCGATCCCGAATAATTATTATAATCATGACGTTGGACATACAAAACAGTCATTGGACTTCATATACAATTTCATAGCAATCGTCACTCCTACGTCAATTTATTTATATCACCAGGAAAGCAAACATTTGGCACTAAAAAGAAAACAAATATACGTTGATACGAGACGCGAATATACGTAAGTTCATTCCAAAAATATACTATTTATATATACTGCAATTTAAGATTAATTCAAGCAATCAATAACCTTGAAAAAACCCATCTGTCAGATGGGCGAAAATTAAAAATGGACGACTTCATAAAATAAAACTGATATTAGGAAGGTCATTAACCTTTCGAACATTTGATCTACTAGTTAAAAAAAGTAAACATATACTCCTACCTACTTTATTGGCCAAAGCATACATTATATAAATATGTACATCTTATTCATGTTTCAAAACATTTCGTGACGTGAGTAATTCTATTTTTGTCCACGTAAACAATTCAATTAAAACATCGATTTAATAGAAGGATGTATTTACTTACACACAACTCTTGTCTAATTCTTCTCTAGTCAGTGCAAACGATATCTCAGGTGAACTGAGAACTGGCAAAGGCATTGAACATCTCTGCTGCAAATCCTCTTCCTTGTTGCAATTCTCTTTTAGAGCATCTGTTAACAAAACAAAAACTTATGTTAAAAATTGTGTCAGTATCGATGGAAGCCTTACAGAGATATCGATTTCATTGATGTCTTACAAAAGCGTAGCAACGTTTTATAGCAACTACCAGCACTTCCCGCGACTTCGTCCGCGTGAAATTCTGTCTTCGGATGGCATTTTTAATTCCTTTCTCAGGCTTTAGATTACCTGTGTACCAAATTTCATTGAAATCGGTTTAGTAGTTTTTGCGTGAATAAAGGCCAGACAGAGTTACTTTCGCATTTATAATATTAGTAAGGATTGAGGTAATACTTATATTATATGTTTCTTGAGTAAAAATAAAATATATGAATATCAATAACAACCAAGTATTACAAACAAAAGACCTTGTGGTTGTCAATAATAATAATTAATGTTAAATTGAAGACATGCGTCGCATAACTTAGGCCAATATCTCAGCTGACGACCGCACGGCACAAATTAATTGACTTTAATTATGAACGTAAACTCGCTTGTTCTAACTCTGTATCGATAAGTAGATATGTCACCGAACAATAATGAACGTCGTGATTTTACAGTCCGACTAGACCTAGACGTTTTAATAATTTTGTAAAGTTTGTCAAAAATATAATAAGCTTAAGATGTCATAAACTACTAAAATAGTACATAAAATTATTGTACTTTTGGTTTTCTTATACATATGTATTTCATGTATAAGACTTATTGTATACGTTGAACCTTGACATAGGCACCTTTCGAGCACTCTTTTCGGGGAGTTAAATTCAAAGGAAAGGCACAAAAGAATTTTCCATTTAAGAAAAACCCTTAAGAAAGTGCTTAAGTCAAGATATAATAAATTCAGAACGAGAATCAAAAAGGCCAAGATTTCAGTGATGTTAAAAAGGCAAGAATTTTTTAGTAACAATACAAAATCTTAGGTATTTGTTTACTTTATTTTATGTTAAATTCTATCTGACCTTATATTTTAATTTACATAAAATAATTCGTCGGAAACAAGTTGTTATGAAATAGAATTTTTCGTCTTTATCTTGTTATATAGTTTTGATTTTTAAGAATAACAGCAAGTTAAAAATACAGTAAATTAATATTGTAGAAATTACCAAGAGTATGCGTATTATAAAAAACTTTATAAATATTTGAAATCTGAAAATTATTCTACCCAATCTTATGAAACTGATGAAATAAACGGTGGCTCTTGTTATAAATAATTTTATTATCTACAGCTCTGTCTAAGGCCTAAGGGAATTATTGGATGAAACTGACCATTTCGTCGAAAAAACCGAAGAACCCATTTTTTGGGACCTTTCGTTTGAATATTTTTTTCCCAAATGTATGATGGAAGATGTATTTCGAAGATTCCTACCAATTTTCAGCTGTATACGAATTAATTTAGCTTGAACATTTTAATTTGACCGGGTTTAAAGTAATCTTATTGTAGAATTACTATTACATAGTTTATATTTATGTTTGAACGAGCCGAGGTTATCTGTGAACAAACGACTTGCACGCGAAAGTCACGGGCGAGCGAGCGTAATTCATGCATAGACCACGAACATTTGTATGACTTCCAAGTGATTGGAAAAATTTATTCTTATGTACATACTAGACCAACTACCCTACCTTTCTAATCTATTTCTTATCCATAACAAATAGTATTATCTAAATAGGTGCCATGCTCTTGATAGAGAAGGAATTTGGTCTACTCAAACCTATGTGATTCATAAATAACACTTAACAATTTTTAGTTTGATTTTGATTATTTACGTGGGTAGTCTCAACTTTATCATCGTGAGGTACAATTAAATTTCAATGCCCTCAATTTTTTCAACTATTTTATAAAAATATTGATACAGATGTCATTTTAAACTAGAACACTTCAATGACAACTCTCCTTTCTCCGTGTGACAATGGCCTTGAACACCATAACATGAGCGCCCTCAAAACGTGTTTAATTTTACCGGTGCTTGCAATCGTACATTCCAAAGGTGTGTGGTGGGGTGACGAGCCCACCACGCCGGTCTCGCCTATTGGTTCATTTATATCGTACGATATTTCTACAAGTGTGAGTGATAAACATTATAGCACACATCTAAACTTCTCATAATCGAGGGCCAATTTAAGAACCGACGTAAGAAAGACATTAGTTATCTGCTAAATGAAATGCTTGGTAAATGATGTTATTTAGGACATCATTGTTACGTCTTACGCATAGTATGACGTGACAATAATGGCTTTAAATTAGTATGCATCTTGTAGTCTAGACTGTTTGGTCAATTAGAACTCCAAGTCGATTTCAATTAAAGATCGATTTAATTCCTTAATCCGAATCCTTATGGACGGTTGGATTTGGTTAATCCTAATTGTCTCTTCTCTTGCACCTATCAATTTTGAAATCCCCCCATATTAGTGATATTAAATTAAATTGGATATCAAGATACAATTTACGAAGCCCTGAGCCTATATCTTGTTTCTCATGTAATAATTAATTTAGCAATTGGACGCTGCGGTGACAAGGCGAGGCATAAACGGCCTCGTCTTATATAAGACGGGTTAATCCTTAGAAATCTTAGGCCCCGGTTTCGTGTCACTAATAACCGACTATAATCCACGAAGAACATAAATCCAATTCCCGGGACAATGCCGGCGAAGTCTTATTACAATGTGAGGGGTATGAATTTAACAATATGCAAACCTTACCTCTATTATATGTGGGTACTAAGAAACCAATGACAACAGTATGAAACATGATTTAATTTGAAAATGTTCATACATTTCCAGAAAACGTTAATTTGGCTTCATAAAACTATCTTTATGTATCTTTTATAAGGTCGATCTCAGAGTTGGGGTTCAATTGACTACCCATTTTAATATCCCCCATATTCCAAACTTCTTTAAGATTGTATCGCTCGTTTATTTCTATTCAAATCTATTACAGTCACCGTTGATAACTTAATTTAAAAAAATCAGGTCACCAGGAAGTAAATTCATTAGCGATATTTACGTTAACAGTAAATATCTTTCAAAAACAATTCCCTTTCATTAATCACAATAAGTCGCTTACTGCGCGTCTATTCATGATAAAGAGCGGAAAATTCCTCTTACGAGTACGTTAAAATAACGTAACTGATTGCAAATCTATGATTATCATATGATTCGACCTTATCTTATCTAATGCGTATATTTTGGCGGACAAAACTGCAAATAACACGTCAATGAAAACAAAAACATCTTAGTTGTCCTACAGATTAGACTAAATTTTATCGTAGGAGACAGACTAGTGTGGGAGTCACAGCCGGAGAATACTTTTTCAAATAAAACATAGTCTTCTTTAACTCATATATTTCCTTTAGAATTGTAAACAACAACTTTTTCAAAAACACCGCTGTTACATTGTCATTCTCATTCCCCGAATGTCAGAAAAACATGGCCGTCATTCAGACGAGCAATTACAATACTTTTAATTTACGATAACGAAATACCGTCAGATAATTAACATGATAAGTTGTATACTTCTATTTTATATTTGAGAATCAAATATTTAAATAATCTTTTGGATCGTAATACAAATGATTAATGTTGTTATATTAAATAAACAAAAGTGTTATTGACTTATAGCATAGACTAAATAACGTTTTACGTTAAGGAATTACAGAATATATGAAATGGCTTACACTAGATACATTGGGATCCTGAAAGGAATCTATAGTTCAGTACTTAGCATTCCCAAAAAGTTTCAGATTAAGTCAAATCATAGCATGATTATTTGCTTCAATCTTAAATTATCTATACATATAAATAAAATTGAAGTATCTGTATGTAATATCGAAAAAAATGTCATATTTCGTAGAAATGGTTTAAGTATTTGCGTTGCTCATACCGAAAAAATAATGTTAAATATGTTTGACAGTCTTCTGTCTATTTCTGACAGTTTTAAAGGAAGGTAGCAGATACACGTGGGCATATTATAGGCTATTTTTTTTTAATTATGCGCTGTCGAAGCCGGGGCCGCTAGCTAGCCTACTATCGACTTCGTCAGCGTTCTAGGATTCTTCTTTCAATAATAAGATGCATCTTTACATATTATACAGAACATTAAAAGTCTGATCTACTGACTTTCACAGTAGCATTGAACGTGTTAACTTTATTTTGCGTACGCAAAGGTATTTCATCACTTTTTCGCACAACGTTAACTTTGAAATCTGCCACCCAAGGGATACCTACCCTGCCATACAGAACAGCGAATAATCGCAAAGGAAATCGGCCATTTCACTGATGTACCCTCACCCAACTGGGATCATTTGTCATCGCTCCCAGATGGGATAACTTTTTGCACGGGCCGCTGACTTCATCCTGACTTTTGTAAAGAAATCGGTCCACACCCCGCGGCCGCTAATGCGTTCCAAACTGTATTATAACAGTAGCTACATACATACATAGGTCTATTACCGGGAAACAGCCATTGTCATTACTTCTAAGTTTAGAGTAATTATAACGTAATGTAAACTAAAAGGCATGGCATTAGTTGGCACAGTTGTTTTCAATCAAGGTTACAATGTCTCTTTTAATACAGTTTATTTATTTCTATTGTTCTCATCGTCAGCTCACTTTATGTCCCTACTGAAGGGCTCGGAGCCTACCTAAGTTAAAGATGACTAACCCATAGTCAACAACGCTGGGCAAATGCGGGTTTTGAATTTATTCTTTCTTTTGATGTTTTCTTTCACCGTAAGAACGTCGGATAAATGTACAACAAAGCGGGATTTGAACCTAGGACCTGCAGATTGCAAGTCAAGTGCTAAACCCTTTAGCCACAGACGCTCTTATTTCTTTATATTGCAGTATCCGTAGAATTAATTTAAAACCAGTATCAACAGCTTTTGTGTATTGTGGAATCAATCAGCGGTATAATTATGCGCTACGAATATATATTTGTTTAAAATACGAAAGAAATGAATTTGCGCAGGTGTCACAACCGACAAAATACATTTACCAGCGAACGTTTTTCGTTTGAATTAATTGTACGAAGATGACCTATTATCGTCACGACATTTTTTTTTAGTTCGAGACATTATTTCCTTCTAAATACTAACATAGGTAGGTACTAGGAGATGTGTTTTATGGCAATGATTAACACGTTTTTATTTTCTCTATATTTATACTTATTTATTATAAGTATACTAATTGCCGCCTACGACTCCCTCCGCGCAGAATTAAAAAAATCTTAATCAGTAGACTATTGTTCTTCCAGACTACGTTCTATGTGTATGCCAAATTCCATTGAGATCCGTTCAGCCATTCTGGAGATACCCTTCAAACAAAAACATCCATCACATAGATGGATATCTATCCATCCATCTAAACATTCGCATTCATAATATTAGTAAGATCTGAGTCATAGAATAACAAGTTATTAGTTTCAATGCACGCTAATTATATTTTTAATAATCCCGCGCGGACGGAATAGTATATAATGATCTTACATCATAAAAATACAGGTAACAGATTTTATAAATGTACTATTTAATTTTAACTCGACGTAGGTATATATATTCTAAGTAAATAAAAAGGTTCAATTTTTTATATACTTAAATGTTGACATTTAAATTGTTAACATTTAACCATTTTTGTGTCGTAATAATCATTACAAGGTAGATATACAAGGTTTAAAGCTTTGGAAATATCTACTTCCTGGTTCGTATTCAATGTTTTTGTAATTTTAAATATTTGTATTGGACACTTATTCATTTACGATATGTTTATGTAATTTAAATTAACAGTTTTTGAAACAAGGACGACGGAAGCTGACGCTCAGGGAGAGGCTAATCGTACTAATTATTTTTTTTTATTGAAAAGGGAATGTTTGTGGAAAACATATACTGCAATTTTTTTATACAAAACTGCTAAATAGATTTTAAGTTATCTAGTTGGTATGTAGGTATGAAGGATTGTAGGTATCTTAGTTTCACGAAGTAATTTATAAATATATTTAACATTTCTCGTGGTGGCAACAGCCCTTCCCTGCCCGTCCCCAATTGGCGACGTCCGTGGTCTAGCATCTGTAATAATCTGTACTATTTGATCCGTCTGTTACCCTAAGATAACCAAGCTTTGGAGACGGTTACTCGTCTAATCTTACCCTGTTAGATTCAAAAGACTTGCTGGTATGTTTATCTTATCATCAGCATAGCAGTATTAACGACAAATATTTCTAACTAATCTATGTTCAGTTGTTCAGTACAAAAAATACAGTTTAATATACCTATATTATAATATCTAAGTAACGCTACCGTGACGATTGTTGTCACATGCAACATTATCATTTTAATGGTTGCGACTTGAAGGACACCTTGGCGTTTTGAACTTTATTAAGACTGGTACGTTAAAAAACAGCCCACCTCTCGTGTTTGCGGAAAAAATAAAAAATCATATTTAATTTACGCAATTTTTCATTCATAAAAAAGTTGTAGTATTAGAAATTATGTCTTGTGAACGCGTAAACTATTTCTTTCAACATAAAATTTATTAGAGAACGTAAGAATAAAATACGTATGTATTACAATAATGACAGTAATATTGGAACAGTGCCCATCAATGTGATGCAACGGCCACTCAAAACAAAACAAAAAATAGATCGCCACTCTAGCTACAAATGTCTTTATCAAAAACATAAGTTAAGAAAAATAAGACACTTGCCCCTTGGTGCATGCTTTTAAATTTCCTAAAATATATTTAGTTTATATAAAAGTTTGGTTAAATTTTGCAAGAAATAGAATATATTTTTTCGGTAAAATTTAAAAAAAAATTAAAAAAGTGATCAAATTTTTACAATCAAACTTTCGTAGTATTAAAATAACTTACCTATAGTATTAATAGCAAAAAAAATGAGCACACTATGGACTAAAAGTTTCAACATGTTGTTGGGCATAATTTAACACTACTAGAAACTTAGTTTAAAATGATTTCTTTTTTATTATATTACTAATACGGTGCACATAAACAATGGGATGGAACACTTATAAGTTTTGATATTGTTAAAAAGGTTTTTACACTATAATAAAAGTTCTGGTTTTACGAGTTTAAACACGTAAGAAAATTACAGCGCGCGACACTACTTCACCATAGCATCCCAAAAGTTCAACTAAAATTGTGATACCGTGACGCTTCGCTCCAACTCGGCTCGACAGAACTAGAAAGTTTTGACGAGAGTGAGAGAGACGATAAAATAAACGAGAGAGGTGGAGGGAGGAGGAGGAATCTGGAATATGAATGAAAATGATGATGGGATATTTTGTTGAAGCAAACTGAAAACTTAAATTTTGCATTACAAACTCAGTTTTTTAATCGCTAGATTCAAGTACATATATTGAATAGTGCTTAACTTAAAATTCTTTGTGCTGTTCCATTTCTTACAAAAGGCCGTTAACTCTAATGCTACCATTTATAACCGTATACAGAGGATGGAGTTATATAAAAATGTTATCTACATTTTAATAATTTTTTTACAGATGGACGACACTTGTATTGTCACAATTTGGAAATCATGCGCAAAGTATCAAGTTTATGTTCAGGTTTTGTTTGACTTGTAACGCCGTTGGTAAAAATCACGTAAGTAATAGTATCGATTTTATGCACATACGTGGCCAAGTAAAAATTATCGCTAATTTAAAGTTTTATCACAATATTCAATAATTTTCGAATGTCCGGATATGAATCCGATTCTGGCATAACCATATGTCAAATCAAATTGTCAAACGAAAAAACAACATAACCTCAAAATGTTGTTTGAAAGTCTTACGATTTAGTTATAAATATAGTAAAAAATTGAAAAATGGCTCTAAAAATGCTTGGAAATATGTTAAGAACAACACGTACCACTTCTAGTCTTGTCGTAACGAGATGGAAGAGCTCGAATACCGAAAAAAAACTAACAGTTTACGACCCGTACGTAACAAAACCACAGAAAAATAAAGAAACCTATTTAGAAGTTATAAGAATGTTTGAAGGGCAGGATATTCGACGACGAGGCCACGTAGAATTCATCTATGCGTCACTAGCTCGAATGAAAGAATTTGGTGTGGAAAAAGACTTGGAAGTCTATAAAGCTCTAGTGGATGTACTACCGAAGGGAAAATTCATACCAACGAATATTTTTCAAGCTGAATTCTTGCATTATCCGAAACAACAACAGTGTGCTGTTGATTTGTTAGAACAAATGGAAGACAATAGTATGAAATATTGTTTATTTAATGTAATGATATTAATAGTTAAAACATTGAATTCAACTTGTTTTCATAAACATAATGAAAAGGAGTCCACATTATTAAGTATCAATAAGTGATCAGTTTATCTCTTCATCCCCATAAATGATCTGTCCTTAATATTATATATAAGCTATATATGCTCTTATTTGTATAGAAAAAGTATATTTTTTACAATAATCTAAGATTACATGGAAGTATAACTTAAGTTTAAATAATCATACTTTTTTCTTAAAAAAAAGAAAAACACAATCCAAACTATGTATTAATTGATAATAGCGAAAGTAGATAAAACCATGATTTTTAGATAGTAAAATATTTTTTAACTACAGGTGTAATGCCGGATTCTGAAATGGAAGAAATGCTGATGAATATTTTTGGCAGAAGAGGCATTCCATTGCGCAAATTTTGGAGAATGATGTACTGGATGCCTAAATTTAAAAACCTCAGCCCATGGTATTTACCAGAACATCTACCAAATGATACAATGGAATTGGCAATGTTAGCTATACAGAGAATAACATCAGTCGATCCTGATACTAAGATAAGTATATGGCAGGTATGTGTGGTTTTAATTTGAACTTATGCAACAAAAAAGTTACATTTGTATAGAGTCCTATAGGAGATGTAATTTGTCGTCTTTTCATTTCATTAGTAGATTTTGCATCTCTTCCTCTCTTAATGAAAGTTTAAATAACATTAAATCACAGTAACTTGGACGATCCCTTATCCAAGTTTGACTGTGTTATATTATTCTCCTTGTAAGATAAATGTTTTTTTTGTACCAGTGTTAAATTATAGTAATAAAAGCCCTAACATTATTTTGTGTCAGACAGAAGAGATAGAAGCATCTTTAGATAAGACTTGGATAGTAAGTGCACAAAGTAGAATGCAGCAAGTGTTACTCGAGGAACAGCCTCCGGATGAACCATTGGCTATCAAAGGTCCATACTCCGTTTACTTGAGAGATCAAGTTGTAACCTACTTCATATTACTTGGTAAGATAAGACCAGAACACAAAGATGATAAAGATTTAGATGGTAAGTGTTGTTGGTATTTATTTTATTTAAACTGTGTATTTTTTTTTCTTTAAGTTCTATAGCACTTTGTAAGTCTTGCTTTGTCTAGTAATTTAACTATTTTGGTCTTTCTCTAGCTATGGACTTTTCTATGCCAACTATTGAGAAATTTTACTTTATACATTGATTTTTTAGATGTGTCAAATATTGAAAAGCCTCCCGGTATACCAGGATTTATTGGTAAAACAACTTTACCAGCAGTCAAATGCACAGTACATGAACAGGATGATGGCACAATTGTTGCTGTTTGTGCTACAGGTAATGCAGTTGGAAAGTTTACATTTTTTTTTGGCATCACTTCTTTACTGAATGTTTTGGTGACATTTATCATCATCAACTTACTATACATCCTCACTGAGGGGATCGGAGCTTACCCTAAGTTAACTATGCTGGCATGGTGCGGGTGGTGACATTGAGTGTAAATAATTTTGTAATATGAATTTGTATTTAAATTTTACATGTCACCTCCTACTTGTTCATGTACATAGATAAATATGGAGCTTAGGTTAGTTATGGTAAAAAAAGCTTTGATGAGGAAATACAAAGTTTTCTTTGGGAAAATTGGTAAATTTGAACATATTTTTAAAAACATTAAATCTCATAAGATCATCTTTTTTTGTAGGAACATCATCAAGAGATTCTCTCCTATCATGGATAAGGTTATTAGAAAAGTATGGTAACCCAGTGCTTTCAGATATACCTGTTATATTTACATTAATAGCCCCACCAGCTGACATAGCAATTCAAGAGACACAGCCAGCTGTAACAGACGATAAAGAAACAACTAAATCATAGATAAAATTTTATTTATTTATGTAAATAAACAATGTTATATTTACATTGTATTTTTTTACATCCCGTAAATGTTGCCAGTATCTTTCTACATATTTATTTAAATAATATTTCTTCGCATGATATTAAAGTCATGATAAGAAGCATTTCTTATCCTAATAGCTTCATTCAACAGTAAATTACATGCTAGTAGTATCACTATCTTTGAGATCTAAAGATGCAGTTTAACCATAGGCTGATATGACAAATAATATTAAAAAAACAAAAAAGTCAGCCAGAATTCATTAAATTTCTGAATCTCTTAACATCGGATGGAATTGTGGCCAAGTGCGGTAGATTGTTAAAAATTATAAAATGACTAAAAATTGCTAATACAGAAGAGCCTCTTATTGATTTTAGTATATTCTCATTCTTAATAAACAAAGCAGTTTAATGACAAATAGCTTAGCATTATTTATTTATCATATTGCTAATTGTGGGTTTCTGAGAGCAAAATATCTTTATAAAACATATCAACAACAAGGTAACCATATGTATTAAATGGAGATTTTTGGTCTTAGAAAACCACTGTAAGTAAATCATTTTAATTATATTACACATCTCAAAAATATAACACAGCTGTATTATAAAATATATTCCTTGTTACTGAGACACTACGTCCATTCATAATCATCATCTTCTTCGAAGGTGATAAAACCCCACTGTCAGGTAATATTGTGCCAATCAGCCTGTGGCAGAAGGTATGTTTCATTATCACTTCTGATAACTGTAACTCCTGCTCCATAATATGGTATGACAAACGCAGACCCATCTGATGGACCTACAACCTAAAAAAAAATGCAAGTTTATAACAACTTCACTATAAATGAAGGTTAATATAATTGTAGTAATTTTTATCTCAACTTTTAGCTTTTATTGAAAGCATTTTTTAACTTAGTATTGTTCATTTAAAGTCGAAAATGAATTATCATATGTAATTATTTTAGTACACTTGATAGAGTTATCGAAATTTGTTTAAGTCACATACCTGTGCTGCAATCAAAATGATATCCAATAGTTGACCCAAAAACATGAATCCAAGTGTACACAGTTTGGCTAAACCAATACCAGGATAGCCCAAGTAGAATCTATCCAAGCCAAACATCCCTAAGAACACTGACAATAGTAGAGCTATTTCTAAGGAGTAGCCATTCCTAGAAAATAAAAACTTAATTAAGAACAATGGACACATAAAAAAAGTTATGTATTCTTTCATACATATTAGTGACAATTCTGAGTTTTGTTTGTAAAAGTTTGAAAGTTTTTTCTAATGCCTTCGTAAATAAGTCGAACTTACGTCCATTTGCAGGGCATTTTTCTAGTAAATGTAGAATTGTTGGTTTCAGTGCATATAATTCCATCAGCTGCTATACATTGCACTGCAATAATAACAATATTTAAAATTTTGCGATTTAAGAGTTTTAAATATTTATTTACTGTTTTAAATTGACTTACCATCAGCTTCACCCTCAGAAGGAACAATTTTACCCTTTGTGCAACCTTTATATTGTTGTGTTTCCGTGTCTATTTGATCTACACTAGGGTCAGGGCAAATATATTGACCCAAACGTAATGTAGAACAATCCACGGTCACCACTTTATCTCCCTTGGCCTCATCAGAACCACAAATCCCAGTATAAAAGCAAAATAATACAAATAGGACGACTCGTAGCATGTTGGGTTTTGTCGTAAAGCAAAAAACAGACACTGTTATCCCACCTAATCAAACAATGTTTAACATTCACTTGTCATATTTTTATAATTATAACAAGTTATTTTTATTTTGATAATAATATTCTTGTGATTCGTAAGTTGTAATCTGTCAATTGACTTTGACAGTTTGACATTGACTTATTTTTTGAATCACGAATAATATACCACAGATAAACTAACATTACCAGATGATATCGAGTTGAAAGCCTAGTTTTAAATAATTGTAACGCTTATTTAAAATAAAACAATTTCATAAGGGTGTAACAATCTTCATTGATATTACAACACTTTTCTTATAAATCAATACATCTAACGAGCTAATATTCTTTAAAAATTAAATTCATAATTTTAAACCCATCCTACGTTAATACAATAAGGCTATAAAATAAAGTTATCTTTTTTCGGCCGAAAATAGGTCTTGAGTTAGAGATAAGATTGAATTTATTGAATTATTGATGAATTACAAATAAATATTCAATCTTAACACTGATGCATTATTAATTTATTGTTATTTAAATTTACTAACCAATGCAGGCTATGTAACTGGTGTAGTATATTCGGCATGTCCCAATATTGAATCCAATACGTATACATTTATCTTAGGCTTCACTAAATGTATGTGAGCTGCTCTATATCGGTTTAATTTCCGGATAGTTTCCATTCCAGTGCTGTCTGCTTAGGAAATTCTAAACCAACATTTCTTGTATATGTACATATATCGTTACTTTGAAGAAAAATTTTTGTATTTATCTTATTTATAGTGCATCACATATGTACATATACAATGCATTGCAAAATTCAAGTAATTTGTTTCAAAAAGCAAAAATACTTTCATTTTATCTGAATTGCCGGCACTCGAAGTGATGGAGAGCGCCGTTCGATGCTCTCCATACTTTTGAAGTCGTCACTAGTATCGTCCAATTAATATGAGCACCATTCATGTTATAATGAAATAACTCGACAATTGCATAACGTATGTCAATAATTTTATGACCAAAATCTGTTGTTTTTTGTTGTCTCTAGTAAATTTTATGATTCAATAAATGTAATCATAATTAAAAATTACGAGATTTAATTTTTTTATATCAATTATTGATTTATACACAGAATTTAAGAAAAATTACATTCGTAGTTAAAACTAAAAATAATCTACTAATTGCTTACGTAACATGCTATACGTAAAGCTCTAATTGTATTGTTCACTTGTAACAAAAAGCCGAGGCGGTTACCGTGACGTGTGATTGATGAATGGACGTATTTTTTGTCCCAGTACTGGGAGAGTTCTGTCTCTTTAATTACCTAATCTAGTTCTCGAAGATATACTAGAAGGTATAGTTTTGTACCGTCGTAAGGTAGGAGAATTTATCGCGAGGTGTGCACCCATTTAGGAAGCTTCGTTTGCGGTAAATGTGTTCAATTTCTTCGAATGCGGGGCTACTAGCACTAATTGCACCCGAGACAAATACGAACAATTACAACAAACAATACGGGATACGTTTAATTACGGCAATTGAACTTTCGTAGACACCCTAAAGGCTTCGAAGACTTTACGATATTAGATTTAAACAATCTGAAGTTGTAATTTTGGTATAGACATTATACAACTGATATCCCCAAACTATTGAAAGTATCAATTCCTATATATTATAATGGACAGTTACAGGCTGTTGATAATGAAGAGATTTTTTTATATTAGACATTAAAAAAAACCTGGTATGTAGACGTATTATTAATTTATCGTAATATTGCGTCGATAGGTACTTAATTATAGTCTACTAACATGATATAAAGGAAAATGTCGAGAAGTAAAATATAATCGTAGGCGAGAATACAATACGATTAATATATACCCGAGTAGTTACTAAAAGTGTAGCACAAACGAGAGCCATAAAGACGAATGTAGCTCTCAAGATAAAGTGGCCAATACAAAGGGTAATAAAACAAAGCTGTGCCATATCACAAATTGTATTTATGTTCACAATAAATCTTAGATTCATTGTGTTATTTTAAATCAGATTATTGTAGATATTATTTAGAATACATAGTACAAATACTTGTATAGTTATTTTATATTATGATAGCTTAAAATTACTCTTTTATATAATAGCTTTGTAAGACAAAACTTTTTACTAGTTTAGACACTGCCTTCTTCGGTGATTATTTCGGGATCGCAAATAATGGCACAAAGCAGTTTGAACAATTTAAAACTCTCCTATGTAATAATGTAATTTGGAAGCCTAGTAGAAGTACACTTGAAGAACATTTTTGACTGATAGTCTGACTCTCCCTGGGTTTTTGAGACCACTAGGCACGTTTAAAACATTGACGACATTTTTTATACTGGCTCAGAAGTCACCGGTTAGTAAAGTCGATTAATCCGAATACTATTTTTTATACACAGTACATATTTACATAAAAAAGAAAACAAATTTCAAGAACACAACAGCTAACCCTTTTTTTCAGCACAAAGATTTGCTAAATTCATTCAGGAAAGACAAACTCTTACTTTCCCAGTGCGATAATTCCTTCGAATGCTCATTAGGGAACGAACGGGGGCGAGAGATGTTAAAGTTAAGCAATGGTCCAAGTTTTTGTGCGAACTTTTTGTCGGACTCATTACAGATAACTCGCTAACAAACGTAGCCAGCGAGCGGGTTCACATCCGATCGGGCTTCGTAACGAGACAACTTTTTAAAAAAACCTCGATCGACCCCAGTCTAATGAAATAATATATTTCCTTAGTTACACTTTACATTTTCTTATTCAACAAGAATGAATGAAGAGATGGAGTCAGTATTAGCTTTACTATTTTTATATATAACTGAATAGTTGCCTTGAACAGGCATTTATAGCTTAACCAGGCTTGAAATGACCGGGCGCAGATGGCGTGTAGTCTAAACCTCGTTGTAGAATAACTAGGCTCCAAGGCGCTCTTAGGAGCCTCAGCTGGGGTTTTACTTCGTTATAACCAACTGGATGAGATTTTTATGATACCTACTTTTTTATCTAGGCGAGAGGAGGGGGGGGGGGTTTAACTTTAATATTTTATTTTGTGTAATTCGCACACCTATGGTGCCTCTTTTTTGTCCAGTCCAGTAGTACTCTAACACCGGCCCTGGATGGACAATTCATAGTTATTATTAGGACGCGGATTTTTATGATTGAATTTACATATTTGAGTGTGAAAAGAATAAAGTTGAAAAAGAAGTTGATAGAACACGAACTAAAAAACTCCTTTCTTACATTTTTAATTAAAATCTATTGGTCTAATTTCAAAATGATTTCATCTACTAGGAAATTATTCTATCACCAAGTAACTTACACTATATTTATGAATAATTTACCGGAATTCATTACACGTTATAGGTTAGAAAATAATACTATTTTTTTTGTTTTCTCCTTTACTTTTAATCAACTTTCAATAAACTTTTCAAACAACTTATGTCAATAGCTTAATTAGCTCACGAAAACATTAAAATGTTCATTATATTATGTTAAATATGCACACGAGTATGCAATGATAAAGATGTCAAAATATTCTTACATGATGCGAATAAGATTTAATTATTTATACACTAAAAGTATACATTGAAAATTATAATTACTAAACCTTTTTATCTATAAGAAGGATAGAATATTAGTTATTTAAGACTTTAATTAATGACGTCACTATATGACAGTTTAAATGTACATCATTAATAATTATTTTATGATTACCAACGTCGATTCTAAGTGTAAATTCAGGATTTGTTCTACGCTAAGGGTTTGCTTACGTGAGCACTTAACGTCTCTGGGTCGACATAGTCACTGGCATCATGTTAAAAAAATACAAAATAGTTACTTTGACTTCCTTGTCGCACGCCCCTTGTAGTACAATCATCAACCGCGCCAACCAGTGAATGATGGTGACCTGCACAGACAACATTGTTTAGGCCATTTGATGAGTGCCCACACCCCGGTAAACAGTGAGTCGAGGGAACCAGAGGGGGTTTAGTGGGTAGGCTCCTTGTCCCCTTAGGGATGTGGAGAGAGTCCCACATAACCGGAGTGGCTTTCCCCGAGGCACCCGGTATACGTAACGCATTCCCCCTCTTAAAAAAAAAAGGCCATTTGATGAGAGCGTCGGTGGCTCAGAGGTTAAGCACTTGACTTGTAATCTGCAGGTCCTGGGTTCGAACCACACTATGTACTAATATGTTTTTCGATTCAAATATTATATTACATTTATCCGACTTTCATAAAGTGAAGGAAAACATCGTGATGCAACCTGCACATGTCTCTGAAGAAATTTAAAGACAGCTTAGACCTTGGCATAATTATTCTAAAACGATGGGATGAGATGGAATTAAAGAAAGAAGAAGGTTTGGATGGATGGACGGATGATTGTTAGAAGGTCTCTCAGGAACGACTCAACAAATCCTGATGAAATTTGGCACAGGTTTAGAATATAGTCTGAAAGAACACATAGACTACATATTAAGTTTGTTTTTAATTCGCGCAGACGGAGTCGCGGGTGATAGCTAGTATTGATATAAATGTACAACTTACGTATTGAAGCTGGGCTGCGGCTGGTTCTGCTGAGCAGACTGTTGGGCCAAGTTACCGAAAGTCATCGTGTTCTGACTCGCTAACGCTTCGAATGTTGAATTTGATTGTGTTGGTGAACCAAATCCTATGAATTAAAGTTTAGCATTACATATTCAAATTATCTGTTTCAATCACTGACTTTTATAAATGGACTGGCTATATCATATAGTATTTTGTGCATGTTTGATTTTCGCCATTTTGACCCTGATGGTAGCGGTTTGTAGCGGTGATATACCACTATATCTATATATACTACCACGTTACACCAAAAGTCGCGTTTAAATTTGAACAAAGCAAAAAAATTACCACTTAATTTTACACTTTAAAATCTATGTTGCTTATTAATTTCCAAATATCTGACCCCAACGAGTCTAACAATAACTTACCCGGAGTTGGAGCTGCGCCTCCGAATACTTTCCCTGGGGAAGTGCCACCAAAGGCAGGAGCTCCGAATGCGGGGGCTCCACCAAAAGTCGCCGGCGCTCCGAAACCTCCAGTAGGGCTTTTATTCAACCCACCAAATCCTCCGAAACTAGCTGACGAACCGAAACTAACAAAAAAATAGAATCAATATGACATATTGAACATAAATAACGTGAGAAACGTAGAACGTGTATCAAAATCGTAAAAATCTTACCTTGCAGATTGTCCAAAAGCTGGTTTCGAACCGAATACCGGTGAACCACCAAAACCTGGCGCTAAAAATACAATATTTATAATTATTACATAGCGAAAAAATAAGAAAGGTTGCCATGTAATTGATTCACTGGTAGGAACAGGATAGGTTAACTTATAACTTAAATGTTGAGGTCCCGGTGCCTGCTAGTGTTTATAGGTAAAACCCAAAATAACCCTGTCTCCCCCCCACAGTAACAGGGTAAAAAAACTATAACTGAGATGAGCTTGTTCAACTTACCAGTTTGTTGTTGAGGAGTACCAAAAACAGACTTTGCTTCTCCAAAGGCACCAGGTTGAGGACTGCCCAATGTCTGGCCGGTGGCCGGAGTACTAAAACTGCCTCCGCTACTACCAAATATGGATGCCTGAGTCGTTGCTTGTTGACCTGGTACAAATAAACAATACATGTCGCCATTTCCTAATTATTGCATTCTATTGATGATATCGGTTGACAGTTTTATAATTTTTTGTAATATTTAAAAAAATGTAAAAAATGAATTGAAACAGTGAACATATTTTAAATTGTAAATTATACCAGGAGATAAGAACACCTAAGAGTAAAAATAGAATAAAACTCTGGAGATGTACAATTTTCTAAAATTAAAATTGCATATTTGAAACCTATAATTTCGGTACACTTATCTTACTAATATTATAAACGCGATGATTGAATGATTGTTAGAAGATATCAACGGAACAACTCCGTGGACCTTGGTGAAGTTTGGCACAGATGTAGAACATCTGGAAGAACACAAGACTACTAATTTTATTTTTAAATCTCGTGTGAACAGAGTCGTGGGCGACAGCTAGTTCATCTTATTATTTAAAAACAATTCTAATAATTATTTAATCAATAACTTACCAAACCCAGAAGATCCAAATCCACTTCCACTAGTATTGCCGCTGCCCCAGAAGTTATTTGAAGTACTATCCTGTTTGAGAGATGCATTCGCTGCTCCGAATATGGACGCCGCTGATTGATTGGATTGACCAAATGTTGTTTTGCCTCCAAATACATTTGTATTACCTCCGCCAAAGATTGAACCGGAACTAATGAAGAAATATTTTATAAATTACTCCCCTTTCTTTTGCTTTTACCAAAATGATGAAAAAATAAAAAAAAAATATTCCGAATAATTGCGATTTTTTGACTTAAACAAAGCATACGCGAACGATTGCATAATACAAATTTATAAAACTCAAATCGGAAGTTTTTATTCTCACCTCCCTCCGAAAACATTTCCTCCAGTTGCCGGAGTTGCCGCGCTTGTTGTCGATATAGTGGCTGCTGCAAATAAATTGCCTTCACCGCCCCCGAACAATGACGAAGACTGTGTTGTTGTTGTTCCGAATATGCAACCTTGTGTTGTGGTGGTGGGACTTCCAAATATTGAAGCCTGCGTCGTCGCAGTTGGAGTTCCAAATATTGAACCTTGTGTTGTTGCTGTTGGAGTTCCAAATACAGAAGCTTGTATTGTTGCAGTTGGAGTACCAAATACAGAAGCTTGAGTTGTTGTTGTGGAAGTTCCAAATACTGAAGCTTGAGTTGTTGCAGTGGGACTTCCAAATATCGAACCTTGTGTCGTTGCAGTCGAAGTTCCAAACAGTGAAGCTTGCGTTGTTGTTGTGGGCGTTCCAAATACAGAAGCTTGTGTTGTTGTTGTGGGAGTACCAAATACTGACGCTTGCGTGGTTGCTGTAGAAGTACCAAATACTGAAGCTGGTGTTGTGGTTGTAGAAGTTCCCAATACTGAAGCTTGTGTCGTTGAAGTCGGAGACCCGAATATCGAAGCTTGAGTTGTTGTCGCGGGAGTTCCAAATATAGAGCCTTGTGTTGTTGTTGTGGTACCTCCAAATGAGGAAGGTTGAGTTGTTGTAGCGGGTGATCCGAATATGGAAGCTTGAGTTGTAGCAGCTGGTGATCCAAATATGGTAGCTTGAGTTGTTGCCGTGGGAGTACCAAATATCGAAGCTTGTGTTGTAGTGGGGGCTGCGGAATCAAATTGAGTCGTTTCTGTGGTGGATCCGAATATCGATGCTTGTGTAGAAGGCGTCGATTTTCCGAAGATAGACGATTGAGTTGTGACATCACCAAAAATTGATTGTTGTGTGGTGGTGGGTGAACTTGGAGCGGTTGTGGTGGTACTCAATGTACTTTGTGTAGTTGTGGGTGCACTTGCAGACGTGGCTGTGAGAACAGGCGCCGTCGTTGATGGAGTCAATGAACTCTGTGTTACAGTTGTGTCGACAGTACTGACTTCTGATTGGGTTTTAGTGATAGTAGTGGTTTCGGCAGAAGTGGCAGTAGGTGGAGTGATTTGTGTTGGTGCCTGGGCTTTAGTTGTATTTGTCGTAGAATCTGGAGTTGTTTTCGGTTCCGTTACGGATGCAGACGTAGATGCGGGGAATGTAGTTGACAATACAGCACTACCGAAAATAGACTTTGCACTCGAAGGTGTTGTAGTAGCGGTGGATGTTCCAAATATGCTAGTTCCAAATATAGATCCGGTTGGAGATGTTGGCTTGCTGACAGAATTCTGTTTCTCCGCTGTATATGCTGCACCGAATATCGTAGACGGGAGTGGTGTGGCAACCGGTTCGGATGTTTTGATTTGTGTTGATTCTTTTGTGGCTGTTGATGACGTCATTGGCGATTGAAATACTGAAGTAGCCTGTGTCGTCGAGGCCGTTTGTAATTTTGAAACTAAAAAAAAATTAAAATTATTATAAGTGAAAACTTTCGGTAACATGTTGACATATAATTAAAAAATATACTTACTTTGCAATGATGACGGTAAAGAGAAAACAGCCCTTGGGTTATTAGATAAATCAAATGATTTTGCTTCATTTGTCTTGTCATCACCCACTTTTAGGGACACATTTAGTACCTTTTTGTTTTCTTTTTCAGGAACATTTTCTTTTAGTTTTGTCAATTTTTCTTTATCTTTCACTTCCTCTTTCGTCTTTGCTTCTACTTTTGTTGCTGTTTGGTTGCTGGTTTTTACAATATCCGGTACATTAAGGACTTTCGCAGCTGCTGAAGCAGTTGGTTTTAAGGTAAATACATTAGTGACAGTTTTCTCTACAAGAGGTTTGTTAGTATTTAGTTCAGCTTCGCCAGTCTCGCTAGATTTAATGTTAGTATTAAGTAATTTTAATTTGGAAACAGCTGCTGATGTTGGTAATTGCAATTTATTACGCATTTTTTCGATTTCATCAATGTTAGCTGCTACCGACGTAGCTGTTTTGGACACTGAAAATATATTTTTTTGTGATATAAGCCATTCTTTTGTGAAAAAAAAATCGAATAAATTATATCAGTTTATTGAAAACCAGCTGTCGCCCGCGATTCCGTCCACGCGGAATTAAAAAAAAAACTAAATGAGTAGACTATGTTCTACATCTGCGCCAAATTTCATCAAGATCTGTTGAGCCGTTCCTGAGATACCTTCAAACAAACATTCATCCATCCGTACAAACATTCGAAGTAACATTAGTAAGATTAGCTATAAGATTAAAGCAATTCAGGAAATAAAAACAATTCATTGTAAATACATACAGTTAAAGCCAGTGGGTTTGCATATAGGTTGTCCCATAAACGAGTTGGCATCATTTTGAGCTTCAGCACTAGCTTGAGATTTGTTCTGTAGCATGTCTTTGAGCATATTTAGTGTGGAGCTGGTGATAGTCATCACATGTGGATAGTGCGCTTGTTCCGGCGTGCTCGCTTGGACTGGAACTTTCGGTTTTTGTTGACTGAGTTGGAACTTTACTGGTTCCTGTTTCGGTTCTGGAAGTATTCATAAAATTGGATTATCTATATGTAATATCAGAAAAAGAATTGTACACATGATATATTTGCATTGGTGATACCAAAAAACCAATTATTAAAAATTTTGTTTGTCTGTATGTCTGTCCGCAAAATCGCGTTTAACCTGGTAATGTCCGGAGTGGAAAGGTAACTGATGCAATCGGGCATATTATAAGCTATTTTTTTTTAAGTCTGCGCTGACAAAGTCGCGGGCGACTCCTAGTTTTTTTTTAATAAATAAGTTACTACATACCCAGGTTTAACTATACACAAAAGTCATATTTATAAAGTTAAGATTATTAACCCTTAATTCGATGGTGTCCAGTGTGACGAACAACTAATTAAAAAAAATCTACTGAACTAGTTTAGAGAAAATTACGTATGACTTTACTAAAAAAAAAAGTTTTTTGCTACAAAGAATTTCGTCGAATTAAGGGTTAATTTATAAATGCGGATGGATGTATGGATGAATACATAGATAAATGGACGGATGGATGAATGTTTGATTGAATGTATCTCCAGAACGGCTGAATGGATCTCAATAAAATTTGGCATACATATTGAACATAGTCTGGAAGAACACAAAGCATACTATGTTATTTCTTTAATTCCGAGCGGACGGTGTCACGGGCGACAGCTAGTTTATTATAAATCTTACCGTCAGTAAATAGTGTTCTTGTGACACTACCCATTGCTGGTTTGTATGTATGTACATTACTGAAAGGTTTGTATGAGGGCACATTTATTAATGAAGACTTTGCAGTTTCATTCTTTGCTTCAGTTTTTATTACTTCTCGTTCCCGCTTTCCAGATACATCTGAAAATTATTTTTACATATTTTAATTATTTATATTGAATTAAATTAACTTAAAAATCCAACATATTGTTTACTTACCAGATTTTATCCCCTGCTTTATTTTAAAAGTTTGTGCTTCTTGCTTTTGTTTTTCCAACATTGCTTTCCTTTCTTTCACACTATTTTCATACTTTATTCTCATTTCCATCAACTTCTCTCCCAGCTCGATATTGACAGGTTTAATCTTGACAGTTTTGTGATTTGACAGCATATCTCTAAGTGCATCAAGCTTCTGATTTGACATCATCTGTTCTCCTCTTTCTTGGTCCGGCTCCAAACTCATATTGTGAATACTTTTTGTCACTTTAGAGATGGGATCTCTGCAATAATTATATGTATGTTGCTATTTTATATGTATGCTGTTGGCTTGTCTTAATAAATAAATAAATAAATAATTTAAGTCTCCTAATGTATTTTTTTGTAAAGAAAACGAGCAAAGAGCCACATAAATTAGCAAAAAGAGCGAAGTGACCGCCTGCCTATAGACTACTGAATTTGTTTGTACATTTATTCGATAGAAAGAAAAAGTTAGAAATTATTTCCTCTTACTGTGCGTCCCCGTTCGTTAGATAATGTTATAAAGAAATTGACTTTAATGGATAAATTCGCAAAACATTTTGTTCGCGGATTGAATCCAATCCATTTTTTAATTATTATATTCACATTTAATATGTTAAATTTCAAATCACAAAAAAATCCCTCCCTCCCTCTTCTCCCTAGATGGATATGTTAAATTGAATATATACTTACGCTTTGTTTCTAAATGGAGTGCTTCTCAAAATGGATGTTGTTTTCATTGGTGCAACATCTCCACATTCTTTTAGAGTATTTCGCAACATTTTGAGTACCGCCTTTTGTCGTGTCAGTATTTCTTGTTGTTTTACAAGTGGTTGGTATATATCGTCCAGTATCGGTCGAATCATGCGCTCTCCCGGTCTGAAATATAATATTAATATAAAAAGGCCATTCTAAGAAATAAAATTAAGTTATAGAACAAATATATTTACAAAGTTTTTGTTAAGAAATGATGAAAGTATTGCATGATGTTAGTTCAATATGCCATAATAACATTGCTTCTTATTGAATGGTGAAAACAACTTCATGAATCAAAAGTAAAGTTTAGATGGAATCTACATATAAATCATATTTGGTACTCATAACGATGCGGTGTTTTAACCAAAAGCCAATTATTAAATTTTTTATCTTTCTGCATGTCTGAATATCTACGTTTGGTCTGGGTAATCTCCGAAACGGCTGGGCCTATTTACATAGGCTATTTTTTTATCGGCACTGACGCTATAAAAACCATAATGATTGAAAAAGAATGAGTGATTCACTACCTTTCGTATTGCGACTTTGAAGTCATTTCATTCCATTTATGGTCGAGTGCTTTGTGAGCTTGGTCTAACTGAGTTTGTACGTAGTACGCAAGCTTCTTGATCTGAGACACTCGCTTCATTGTGAGGGGATCCGCTTGACTCCATTCTTGCATTTGCCTTGTCCTATACAAAATATTAAATGTAAACATAAATAAAGGGAAAATAATGTAGGTATGTTATACTTAAAGTTAAAGATTCTAGACAGATTATAAAAACTCTCCCTAATATTCCTCAGCTGTGTAATAAATATCCACCTATGTAATGTAAGGCTCAAAGCTAGCAGATAATATTTGTGATATTTTCATTTTCTTATCATTGAGTTTGCACAAGTTTGTATTAAAATGTACAGTCTGTCACAAACACAGTCCTTGTAAAAAACAATTAGATAGCAGTGAATTGCACAAAAGAGGTCATAATAGTAAAAGTAAATTGGTCGTACACCCATCAGCAACTTTTTTTCGTACAGACACATGTAAAGGTTGGGTACTATTGGGATTTTTTGGCCGTCGTAGTTTCAGTGCTTACGCAACGTGCAAACGACTGTCGCTTTTATGTTGAACAACCGCCTGATTCTCCGATAGTACAATAAAAAAAATAATTCACAAGAAAGAATTTGACCGAAATATTAAAAGGCTGTGTTTTATATAATATTTCAAATGATTTAACTTACTCCGCGTGTGTTCTAGCTTCAGCTACCGCAGCACAGACTCGTACAAGATCCAACTTCAACATTATAACAGTTTCTCGGATCTCGTTGACAGCGCTGTCTTTCTTCAACTGTATCACGTCTTGAGATTTGATGTTGATATTGGAACCCATTGATTGTATCTCTTGTTGCAACTAAAATTTAAATGTGTCTTTAGGACTAAATTTTAAAATTATTAGTTAAGGTGAAAATACGCCGCCATGAACATTCCAAATAGATTTTTTGAAAATAATAAAATTTTGGTTGCAGTTTGTAGAGCATCATCTCTTTTGGCTCGGCTAGGCTCGGCGCTGATGTGACACCGACCAGATTTTTTATACATTTTGTTGGAATGCAGCGCATGATGTCCTTAAGACAAACAGAAGGACCCCTACATCTTACTGATACAATAAATGACAATGGATGTATGGAAGATTGTTTATTAGCAGATATCTCCAGTACCGCTGCATGGATTTCATTGAAACTTAGCATAGATGTAGAACATAGCCTAGAACATTTAGACTACTAATTAAGTATTTTATTTAATTCTACACAGCCGGAGGCGCTGGCAACTGCTAGTACCTTTATATGAGCATCTCTGGTCTTCACTTGAAACTTGTATAATTCCATTTGAAAGTCATTTACTTCCCGTATCAACATATTCATCAGTTCCTCATTGACTTTCAACTTGTTTACTCTCTCCTGTTCACTTTTGAGTGCCGCATTCATCTCTTGTGTCTGTTGTATGGGTGACTGGGCTTCAGACACTTCTACTTTTGTTGGTTTAGGAGTCTGTAAAAGAATGGAAAAAAACGAATTAAATTTAAGTATATCAGAATATATATAATACAAAATATAGGCAAATTATTTACTTTTAACCGAATATTTAGTTATTGATAATTAGATCCGACTTATTATATGCTTTGCATTGATTAATTAACATTTTTTATTATAAATATAAGCTTTATTTAGAATGTTTTATATTTACCGAAGTAACAATGTTCTGTGGAGCAGGTGGTTGTGGTTTTGTCTCTATCGGCTTTATTTCAGGAATCTTAGGAGGAACGGCTGTAAAAATATTTAATTTTACTGACATATTTATTGTGACCGAATGATAGATATCGGTTTTTAGTAGATATATAAAAGTAAATAAACATTTATTTCTTAACAGTTGTTTTTAATAATTTTATTGCTTTCATATTAAAATTATCAGATAAATTATACCAGAAGAAAATCCCGGAATAGCTTGAGCTTCCTGTATCAACTGTTGTCGTGCTAGAAGGAAGTCTGCAAACGACTTTCCCGGCTGACTGGTTACTGGTGCGGGCTGGACGGGTGTTGGTGCCTGGACTTGTTGGACTGGTTGTGACTGTAAATATATTTGTACACATATTAAAAAAGAAGTATACATAAATTATTGCCTTGAGATGTAACATTATGAAGAAATATGTCAATAGCGCTAAATAAAAAGTGAAACTGCTTATATTACCTTGGCTAATATTCTAAAATTTTACCTTAAAAAGAAGACTTATAGTATATTAAGTGTAATATAGTTATTTTACATATGCAGTGTTAAGATATAAATAAAAAACATACCACAGGTTGACTAACAGGAGCCGAGGATGTAACTGTTACCGACTGTGGAACATCATCAGGAATAGAACTGAAAAAAAAATTAATTAAAAACTTGTAAGGACAAGCATTATAGCCTGCACTTAGTGGACGGATAGAATTTCATAAAATATGCTTAATATTCTTAGCATGTTATAAAGAAAATTAGTGTATCTTTGCAGAACCATTGGTTTCCGAGACAAAAATCTCTATATAAACATATTGTCAGTTCTTGATCATGAATCCCTGGTCCTATAAGAGATGATATGATGTTTAATTATTTTTTTATTAATATTTTATATCTTACATACCTTGTCATAACATTAGCGGGTAATGTAATTTGCTGAGGTGGAGTACAAAACATTGCAGCATCTTTCTTTAAGTTGATTATATTGAAAATAGACAACATTCCAGTTTGTGATAACACATGGAGTATTGGCATCGGTGGTAGCGTTTCGTTCTCACCTAAAATACACGTATGTAAAGAGTGAATTTCCACTGCCAAAATACATGTATAAAACATATTATGTACAAAAAACTAACCCCATGGCAACTGATGTATAGAGCAAGTATCAACACATATGCCAACTGGATAGTTATCTTGGTTTCCATCTGTCAAAGGTAATTCAGGCCTTGCTTCATCAATCTGGAAAAAGTAAAATTAACAGTTGATATTTTTCTTTAATTTCAAAACTAAAAGGTTTTGTAGTATTGAGGGATGTTATACATTATAATAGTTACAAAATTGCTTAAATCGGTCATTAATTTTTGAGATCATTTTTAACAAATATTTTTTTCCTTTTTACATTTGTGTACATTCTAGTTGATTATATATTAAATTACCTGACACCATTGCCTCCAGCTACAGCCATCAAGTGAAGCCAAAGTTGCTATCTCTGAACTATTAGATGATGACGCCAGTACCATATTCCTAGAAAACAATTTGAAGGTATATATAAGAAAACATTTTGTTACATTAATAATTATATATTTATTAGATACTAGCTGTCACCAACGACTCCGTCTGCGCGTAAAAAAATCTTAATTCATAGTCATAACTTAATATAATAGTATATATAGGCTATGTCCTACATCTATGAAAAATTTCAGCAAGATCCATGCAGCGGTTCTGAAGATACTTTCTAAACAAACATCCATCCATGCATTCAAATGTATAATATTAGTAAGATACAAATATATTACCATTGTGTTAATCCATACAGGTAATAATACCATGGTCTATTTGAGCCCAAACTGTAGCAAATATCTTCAAAATTAAGACAAGATGGCTGACCACCCTTTGGTGTATTCACAATTGTTACAGCTGTAAAGAAATGTACCAATTAGATTTATTCCCATTTTTCTAAATCCAATAATTAATAGCTTATGTATTCTTTCAGATGTTATACATCTGTGCCATATTTCAAATTCTCAAACCCGTTGAGTTGTTCTGAAGATACCTTGTAACAAACATCCATCCATCCAACCATCCATACTTTCGCATTTATAATATTAGTAAGAAGTAAGATAGTATTTCATTCTTAAATTACACCTAGAACAGAAACAGACCAGACTCTATTACCTGGTCTTACATTATTTGTTGCATTTTTGTATACAACTAGAAATTGATATGTTGCTATCCAATGTATAGCTAGAACTTCAATTGCAGCTCCATCAAATAGGTTTGGTGCTGGCACCATCTTCATCGGTGATAGATCTGGTTTATACTGACACAGTGTGCCATCATTATTACCAGTAACAAGTTGTTTGCCTTTCGGACTCCAGCAAATGCATCTGTTAATTTAGAGAATAAAGTTCAAATCTGTTAATCATAATCAAATTTTTCAACCAATTTCACATTGTTTATAATCTATGGTTTTGGTCAGGATAATCAATTTGTCATTTTAACTAATACCATAAAGAGGATTAATATGATGAGGACTGTCAATCTCATTTCATTGATAATTTAATTATTGGCCTTTTTCTTTCCATGTTACTTGATATCATAATCAAATGTTTTCTTAGCATAATATAAACCCTACCTGACATTGGATTGCATTTTTTTGACTTGCATAGTAGTGACCTGACTGACAAGTAAAGTTCCATCAAAGAATGCTATGGCTATAGTATCTGTGATACAAGGATTCCACTGTACAGCCGAGACAAAAGTAGCTGGATTGATATCCAATTTAATTGAGAATGATGGTGATGTATTCTGAAAGGAAAGAATAAGATAAAAAGAAAGAATCAATTAATATTTTACAAGTACAGATCGTCATCAGCTCACTACACGTCCCCACCGAGGGGCTCGGAGCCTACCCTAAGTTAGGGGTGACTAGGCCATAGTCAACCACGCTGGCCAAGTGCGGGTTGGTTGACTTCACACATATCTTTGAATTTCTTCTCAGATATGTGCAGGTTGCATCACGATGTTTTCCTTCACCGTAAGAATGTCGGATAAATGTACATATGTAAATCAGAAATCGAAAAACACATTGGTACATGGCGGGATTTGAACCCAGGACCTGCAGATTGCAAGTCAAGTGCTTGACCTCTGAGCCACCGACTCCTTAGTACAGATACCCTTTGAAAAAAATATCTTTTAACCCTTAGTAGCCTGATTTACATACAAAAGTGATTTATTTTTAATATTACTGTGTTTGCTTGATAAAATAAAACAATAATGAAATTTGGTTTTTTTTTGTCATTTCGTTGGAAAGAATATTATACAACAGTAAAATAGGTACAGTCAACCTATAAAAAAACTAATAGTAATGTGAACATTCGGTTTAAAAGATTGGTATCAAAATTGAAACTCTAGGCTAATAAGGGTTAAAAAGACATTGCTCTCACAAAACTTTTTTTTTTTTGATAAATAAAGAACAGCACTCCTTTTTTTTCAAGAAAAATCCAAGAAAAATTGAGTTATGTCCGAGTAGTATCCTAGTAGTGTGTATTTTTGGAGGTTAACATGCACTGTTACAATAAAAATATTTTAAAGAAACTTACTGGATTTTGAAAATCAATAGTCTTATACACAAAGAGCATAGTTTTGCTTATGACAGCTAACCATTCTTGGTCACAATTTACAGCTATATGACTTGGTTCTGTTTGAAGCTTCAATGATACATGTTGTGGCTCACACTCCTTGTTTATTAGATCCTTTAAGTAATAAACTGTAAAAGTGTAAATTTGAATTAAGAATAATCTTAACAACGATTCCCAGTAGAAATGCTTCATCCCAATTGCCTTATTTTAGTCGGTAAAATTTATTTGTTTATATTTTTATACTATTCTTGCCAATGATGATTGTATATGATATCGAGTGTAGCAAATGTTGGAAGTTAGCCTTTTCACACAATGTAAGGCCATCTATTTGCCCATTTATTTACATAACATGACAGGTAAAATCATAAATTATGAATTAGAATTACTAAAATCATATGTTGGTCAAATTACCTGATAATATTGAATTAGGTGCAAGAACAAAAACAATGCCATATTTACTACAGCTTGCGACTAAATTATAGCCTCGATTTGGTAAAGAATTGCTGGTGTTGAAAACCTTGATCTTGCGTTGCAATTTATACAAAAGATCCTGAAACAATGTTGATAAATGTGGTTCATCTCCTAGCAAGATTTCTTTATTTTGATATTTCTATCAATATTTTGAAAAACATTAAACATAGACGGTTATTTTTTTACCGGCACGTCAATTGCGTTCGGTCCATATTGAACTTCCATGTTCACTATTACAGATTATTTGTTCGGTTTTTCGGTAGTACCAAAATGTGATTGAATATCTCATTAAATAGAACAACTAGGAACCTCGCTTTTATAATGTAGACTTTGCAAAGAAAATGTGATTGCTTTTTTCAGTTTCAATGTTTTTTAAAACCATAGACAATATAAGTTGTCCAGACAGTCACAAATAGTGATGGGCAGAGTATAAAATTGATTCAACTAATTCCGTTGATCTTGCTTCGTCGCTTCAATCGTTGACCTTTTTCATTTAACTAGTTGAATTCAACCTTAATTAAAATAGGAATCATTGGTCGTCTTTTCATTTTCCACATTACGCAAACCTTCAGGTCTTTGATCATGGAATGTATGATTAGCTAGTTGACAAATAAAAGCAATTTAACCGTTTCGTTTCGTTGTCGCCAAAACTAGTGACAAACGACAACCCAACCACCAACAATTACAGAAAATTACCATAGACAAATAAAGACTTTTTTTAACGTCTTTGCCTCTGAACTCTACAAATCTTACTGTTATGGACTTCAGAAACCGCTAGTGTAGTTTAAAACACAATCCAGTATTCACATATCAGCCGAAGTAACTTTTTGATTAATGCTTAAACATTTTTTGACATATTTTTCATAGGTTTTTGGAAATAATTAAATGCGACATTTTAACATACATACATGTCTTATTTTTTTGTATTGTACATACCTATTTATAGACATTACAATTAATATTACATTCAACTCTCATTTTATACCACGGTCAACAGACCTATGTACGTTTTTACAGAAAAGTGCTCTCGCGGGAAATCTGCCCTCCCTTGACTCCGTCGTGGTAATAATGTTTGCTAGTATGAGGGTGCTTATGTCTGATTGTGTACTAGGATAGTTAACGACATTTTCGCTACTATCAGCGCCGTAGTTTTTTTTTTTAATAAAAATATAAAATATATGGTTTTATTAATTATTAAATATCAAACTTGTATACAAAGACGGACAAAATGGTGAAAAATTATATGAGACGCTATTTTATTCAAATTTTAACTCTTCTGTGAGTTTTCTCTATTTTTATTTCTTCTAAACAACGTTTCGTTTATATTTAGGAAAAATAAACTAACATTTAAGCCACTAATCGTTTGGTTACTTTAGAAGTAAAGTCTCGGTAAGAGCTTTCAAGAAAATGGATGTAACATCTAAAAAACATATAACAATTATATTTATGAAAATTTTAAACACTTTTCCATATAGGATTTTAAATTAAAATCTATGGGAGACTATAACACAGCTGTGAGTAAATTTATGTAAAATCAATGTAACAAATAAAACAGGAGGGCGACGTATCCGAGTCGCGCCACAATTAACGCACGTCCCGCTGCGAGGGACAGCGTACTATCGGAGTTGGACAGTTCTGTCGCCCCATTAAAAAGATTTACAAACAACAAATTAACATCAAAACATTTTTTTTCATTTCAAACTATCCGACTATTTTCAATTTGGCCAGTAACAATTATTGGGTTGTTAACTAAACAAAAGTGAAATGGCTATGGTTCCGAATCTTTATCGGCTTCTTGAATCTGCTTTTTTTGGATTTGGATAGGATAAAATATTATACTAATTGATGATTCGATTGTTATTGTCGCGTATTGAGGAATTATGACATGCCCACTAGATAAGGCGACTTATTTCTATTAATATGTTTTTAATTTCTCCCGGTAAAAACCTCAATATTGTGAAAATTTATATGAATGCAATATTTTTGAAGCAAGCCAATTATATTACGTACATTGTTAATTATTAAATTCGTTGAATAATTTATTATTTGTTAATCGTGGTCGGTTGCGATGCAGAACTGAAATGTGGAAGGATTCGTTTCACATTTCAATTTCAGATGGAAAACGTTTTAAAATGCTTTCAATATTTATGCAAGATAAATGAATATTATTTTTTAACACAGGGCTCGAAAGTCATAATTGAAACGTATAATTTTCAATATAACTTGTTTAATTATAGATTTTTATTTTTTTTTGCGATTTTTTTAGGGGATTATTTAATAATTGTTAAGTAGCTACAGTGAAATATATCTACATATTTAGCTAATGTATTGGTAGATTGCGTGAGTTTATAGATAATTGTTGTTTTTTTATAAGCTTTAAAGGGTGGAACCATCACTATGGTGTTATACGCCACATTTCTAGTCAAATGGATTCGATTCCGGGTGAAGTCAAGCAGAAATACAAGATTGTTTCCGTTCAATAGATCTAATCTCTCAGTTGGGTATTCGTGCTGAAATGATTCTCTTTTATTGACGTCTCTTTGTTGAATTATTTGACATATTATTTATATGATGGTTGGTACTTGATATCAATTTCGGCGGATGACGAATTTTTCCAAACATAAGTTATATACAAAATATTACATTTTTGTTAACAAGATATGGTTCGTCAAAATCTCCTGGTGCTCGTAGGTAGGTATTTAAAAATATGGCATCAATACACATTCCAAGCGAACTCAGGTAAAAATATTTGGTTACAAAATAATGCGCATTTTTGTGATGCTGAATTATATTGACCGTAGTTGAGGGCGAGAATAATTCAAACATGATATTCCGTATACATATGCAACGATATCTGATACCCGTTTTATGTTCCAAGCTGGGATACTCCGCACACGGGTCAGTACCATTACGGCCTTGTCCATAGAAACACTTTTTATTCATAAAATAATAAATACTTATTGCTACAAACCTTCACGGTACGTAAATACGGTAAGTGTTCCATTTTTAAATATGTCTGGAAAAAAATTGCCTATGATTGTAGGTGTTCTGTTTTTAATATATTTATTAATGTTTTTCTTTTTTTACTTGTAGTTTAATTGTCACTTGTAACTACTGTCTAGCAGTAAACGGAATGGTGTTAATATACAGACAATTCATGTTTATGTTTTAAGCTTATTTTATAAACTTTGCAGGATTAAACAATGTCATGGACCAAAGCTGTAGCGATAACTGGCTGCGACAGCGGCCTTGGATGGGCTATAGCAGCGCGCTCAGCCCGTGAGGGTTTGCTAACATTTGCGGGTATGTTCCAAGGCATGGACACAGATGCGTCACGTGCATTGAAAAATCTATGCGCACATCCATACCCACTAGATGTGACTAAAACTGATAGTGTGATCGGATTTCGAGATTATGTACAAGCTGTTATGAAAGATCATCCAAATTGTGGTAAGTACTTTTTCAACTATTACCATCATAATTATGTTTGAAATATATTGTTTTAAGACTTTGACGTGTATAAAAATGGGCACTAAATAATACCTATGTAGTTTTACATATTATTAGAATCATTTGGCGCGAATGGTGTGCTCTCTTTACAAAGTCAAGTGTCAGGATGATTAGTGAGGGGACATAAACATTGACATTAACATTTTAATAAGGCTAGTGTTGCCATAGTGTTCTTCCCAACAGTAAATGTTTTTTTCTAAAAAAAGATTATATGCTTTTAGAATTATATGCCGTGGTTAACAATGCTGGGGTGATGACAATTGGTGATTATGAGTGGCAAACTCCGAAAATAATCGAGAATACAATAAATGTCAATCTACTGGGAGCTATGAGAGTTGTGTCAGCGTTTCTGCCAGAACTCAGAAAAACTGCAACAAATGTAAGTAGACTATTTTTAACTATTGTCATGCAAAAATTTACTTTCGTTGAGGGAGAGCCATAAACAAGAAACAGAACAGAATTTACTTTCGTCGATTCTGTTTTGGCGAGATTTTATTAAAATTATCTTTAAAATTATAGGTATAAATAAGTTATACAGGCAAACCTCTGTTTCTAGGCAAATCGGGGCGGATCGCTAGTTCGTTCGTACTTCGTACTAAATTAATTATCAGTGTAAATCACTAAAGAATAAATAATTGCAATTAATTTATTTCCTCATTGCTCCATTGGCATATGGAGTCAAGTTTCAAATAGTTGCTACATACGCTTGCATTTTCATTCTTCAAAAGCATTTGTAAGCAGTTTTTTTTTATTATCGACATTATCATGCGATGTCAAAGAGTTTACCGAATATCATAGCTAAGACGTTCCTAATTCACTTGATTTCTTTTAGTTTTATACATGTACACAACATAAAAATGCTTGTTGATTGTCAATATGTTCTCCGATAGATTTCCTATTATATCTTTCATTAAGTACATTTGTAATTAGATATTATAACTTGAAACAAACCTTTTAACACCGTTTTCAATGAATATAAGAACAGTTTGAAATTTGAAATTACAATATTGTGTTCAAGCACGATCCTGTTAGATAGGTAATTAAAAACGATCGGATTACGTTAATAATTTCGAACGTCTATTGTTCTTGTTATAATTAATTTTATTTAGGTCGTACGGTGGCTGACATTTTATATAAATAAGCTAGACTCCAGGGAATAGAATTGATAAGTACCCCTTTGACTATAATTAGACTGAGGAGGAAAGTTAAAAGAGATGGAGGAAAAAAAGCTAGGTTTTTTTCTGGAGGTTTTTTTTCTATTCTACATAATAACTATTAAAATATCAAAATGTTAAATGGAAACATACTAAACTTAAGCTTTTAATTTTCAATTTAATTTTCAATCTGTAACATGCCCAGTTTGTGTAGGAAGACTTAAGTTTAGTTAATTGTTTTAGAGGTCAATAAATCCTCGCATAATCAATGTGGCAAGCCACTGCGGACTACAACCGCTACCTGGCTTTGGTCCCTACAGTGCTAGTAAAGCGGGCTTGCTAGCTTGGACTCGAAGCTTGCGGCTCGAACAACGGCAACATGGATTACACGCCCTTGCGTTCATACCAGGTAGGCAATTATGCAATGCGAGTACAAACCGCCTCTCTCTGTCTTTTTTGAAGAGAATAAGAAGGATGCCATGTTTTAAGTATGATGTGATGTGTGTTTTGTTTGTATTATAAAATTTGCAATTCAGTTTCAGAAATGTTCAAAATATTATCATCGATTGGGTTACTCAAGTGCTCAGCTTCGCAAATTTGAAGTTTGATTCTTAACTGTTTTTTTTTTATTACAGGTGGATTCGTTAATTCCAGTAATCTTTTATCATATCAAATCAGCCAAGGTGAGGACATGGTGGAACATCTGTCTGAAGAACAGAGAGTACTTTATGAGAAGAAAATCAAGACACTATGCAACTATCTCGGTTCAGCAGCGAACGGTACAAAATTCGATTCTATGAACGATGAAAATATAATGGAAACATTTTTTAGAGCTCTTAATGATGAAAATCCTAAAGAATTGTACAAAGTTGAATCTTGGAGATATATGTTTTATTACAATTTATTAAAACTGCCCGTTCCAGAAACTATGCACCAATGGTTAATTAAGAAATTTATTAGCTTTCCTCAAATAGAATAAAGATACCGTTGTTGCAGAGGGTAAAACGATTGTCGTGTTTTAGAAAAATTCCCCCTATGTCTGTCTCGTTATTTTAGTTATCATTGTTTTCTTAATCTTGTCAGCATGAAATAAAGCAAAATGATTTTTTGTAGTTTTTATTTTTTTTTACACTAAAATCAATGATTTTAATTATTAAAACGCTTTAGAATAAAGACATTCTAACTATTAAAGCAATAAAGCAACTGATAGTAGATTTTTTTTAAAATTAGACAAATTTAATTACGATTTATTAATTACTTATTCCATATTACTCAGTATCCATTCTGAATATACAAATACATTTGTATACAACGATGGTACAGCCGTTCCACAAGGTACATCTGATCTTTTCCCACTGACGACGCCAACTACGTAATACTTTCCACCGTATAGCATCATTAATGGGCCTCCTGAATCACCTTTGCATGTATCTTCTCCTGTCTTACCCATTGCGCACATATGAGACGCCTGAAGATATGGATAGTATACGAGACAGTTATTACGAGGTACCAGGTTCAGGATTGTCGATTGCTTGACATCTGTTGCGAACTGTCCATTACGGCCCCAGCCAGCGACTGGCAAGGGTAGGTCAAAAAATGCTTGGCTGTTTATGTTGATTGGTGGTAAGCATATTGGTCGTATAAATTCTGAAATTGAATGTAAAATGACATTTAAATTAATAAAATAAGGTCTTGACAGACAGACAGACGGACAACAAAGTGAACCTATAAAATATTACAAATATAAAAGAAAGCATTTACTATATAAAAAAATTCAGCCTCATGCAGAAATCCCTGTTATAAAATTGAGCTTCATAGTGTCTTAGTCTGTGCTTAATTGGATCTAGTGAAACAATCGCTTAAAAGAATCGAAGGCTTGATTAGTAAAAAAAATTCAAATGAAAAGAGCTTGATTGATAGGATTTCGTTTTTCAGATTACAACGTTTATATTTTCTTGATTTGAAAGTGGACGATGATGGTAAGATTTTAAGAGTTAATTACTATATTAGAAAGGAAAAAGAGGTAAGTGTTTTAATGAAATTTATTAGAAATGACGTCTTTAAGACAAAAAAGGCTGTTGTAATATACTTACCAGTGTAAGGAGCATATTCACGAAGTCGTATCAGAGCAATATCATTTTGGAGGGTTTTACTATTGAACCCGCTGTGAGGGATGACCTTCTCTGCTTTGACTACCACGTTAGTGATGCATGACTTCTGACCGTTGGCACTCAGTCTACAGTCCATCGGGAAAGTGCGCTTATCGTATTCTGCCATGTATATGTCAACACTGGAACATTTAAATATAACTGTCTTTATTTTGTGTAATATTGATGATCATCATCAGATGTGTAACATCTACCAACAAAAGTCGTTGAACGACCAATTGTCAGTGGTCAGTGCTGGTCCGACGTCACCTTAGTTCTAAGACTTGGAGCTTCAGACACTTCTTTACCTGATTTCGCCAGCAACTCGTAGGACTTTGTTTAGTGCTCCTCATCAAATATGATGCTATTTACAAAATATATCATATAAATGTGAATATTGTATAATGATTTGCTTCCCAAGTAACTTACTTCGTGAGTGTGGCGCCATCTGTGACAACGCAATGGGCTGCGGTTAGTATGTACCGAGAACTAATAATGCTTCCACCGCAATCGAAATTTGTTACGTTGACGCCGAAGTCGAAAGATGCTCTTAGGAGTATTGTCCATGGAAACTGGTTGAGTTCGGTTTCAGCACCGCCTGGTAAATATAACACTGTATATTGAATTTGTTCATGATGCCCTAATCTTACTATCGTTGTAGATTATCTACCATACCTGCAATACGATTATCCAAATCTATCTCAACTTTATCGTTATCAGATTGTCTTCTAAATCTACGGTTATTAGCCAAAGGTAAATTAGACATCGCAGCAACAACGGTTTGTGCATCTGTAAGAAATAAATATTTTATTTATTCTACGAAGTAACGACCTAATATCCAAAAATCACACTTATGAATTTATTCAACTACTTACCAGTTACCCCATTTGTTCCAAATGTGTCCACTCCACAGCAACCGGTATTAGGATTAGGAGGGAAATTAGAAGCTTGACATTGTTGTGGTAGGGTTTTTGACACGCCACCTAAAATCCCACCTGGCCTACCAGGTCTCGGACCTTGTACGAACTGTGGCGGAGAGATTCCTTTATTGTTTGAGCCTGGTTGATTGATACATGCAGAATTTGTACAAGGATACTGGTTAACCACGGCTGGTCTTCGTTGGTTCGGTAAGAACGGGGATTGTATCAATTTGGCAAATGTATTTATATTGTTATTTTCATTTTCGAAGATTTTTCTTCCCAGGTAAGCGAAATTGTCTGGCATGATGTTTTTATCGTGGTACTTATGTTCATGTATAATGCTCCAAGCGTGTTCGCCAGAACAACATATCTAAAATATAGTAAAAATTAGGACTTATTCTACGTGTGTTACAAAATTTGTCTATATATCTGTAATTGTATGATATAATTTGAAAATGAGCATTCAAATATTATATGCAAATGGTTTCCATACCGATATTATCGATAAATTATTTTACTATGGACTAAACAAAAAGTTGGATTTATTTGTAAGGACCCAAAACTGGTACGAAGATACTTCGAGTCATGATATAAATTATTTTTAGACCGGTTTTTAGTTAGTGCATTAAAACTAGTTTGCTTTTTGACCTTTTACCGAATTTCGCAATAATAATACAATTTAATAAGACGATGAGTTTTGTTGACAATTAATAATACTCTTAGTTTGATTACTTTAATTAATATGTAAAAAATAATAGCATATAATTACATAATATCTTCCAAACTCAGTGGTAGATTCATAAAAATCACGATTAAAAGATTGGTGGCAAGGGAATAAATGCAGCCATTTGCGTTGTTCATTTATCTGCATATTGTTAAAATGTGGACAATTGTCTGTACGTACACATTGCGAACAATTCTCTGGAAAAGATTATAAAAAAATAACATTTCTTAAAAAAGTATTTTTTATTAACAACTTTTAACTGATTAAGTTTTTAAAAATTGAATCTTACTAATATAAATGCGAATGTTAAGATGGATGGATGGGTGGATGTTTGTTTGAAGGGATCTCCAGAACGGCTGAACGGATCTCAATGAAATTTGGCATACATATGTAATAGTCTAGAAGAGGACATAGGCTATTTTTAATTGTAAATAATACCTAGAAGGGCACATAGGCTAATTAATAAAAAAAATGTCAAATTTAAGCACAAATCACTACTATACCTTGGAAAGCACCACCACAAATTAAACTTAATATAATTCCTAAGCTTATTAGATATTCCATGATCAGTTTCCGTACTTCACAAAATACCAATCCACATGTCACTATACGACAGTCTATAAATATGATAAAAATGCGACTGAGGATCGAATCGAAATCACAAATACATATTATGCTGATAATTGTCGTATTATAGATCAGGTCTGGTTGCAGGTAATTAACACAATCGTGGGGTTCCACTGCGAAAACGACCTCATTTTATCTCAGTTTCTTCAAAGATATTAAGCGAGATGGCATTATATCGTTAATTGATATTTCTGCAGTAGAAACCCACCGTTTGGTATATCATGCGTTCAAAATTGATGAAACTATTAATTGTTACCTTTAACTACTAAAACAATCAATTCAAAGAATAAAAATGACACTTTTAATTATTGTAAAATCCGTGATAAATACATTACTATTATTAAAAAGTTTTCCTGCATCGAGAGATAATATCTTTGAGCCTCTTATTTTCCCCTATCTTACTGATATTATAAATGTGAATGTTTGTATGGATAGATGGATTTTTGTTTGAAAGTAACACTAGATCGGTTGTATATCGATCTCGCTAAAATTTGGCATAGATGTGGAACATGGTCTGGAAGAATACATTTTTTTTATATCATAAGGTTACAAACGAGCGAGCGGCCACCTGAAATCGCTAAAATAGCGAAGTGACCGTTGCCCATAGACATACGCAATTGCATATGCGTTACCTACCTTTAATCGACGGAGGAGAGGATGCACAGAAAGAAAATATTTTCCCTTTCCATGCATCCTCTCATCCGGAAAGTCCACTTCCACTTCCCATCTTTTCCTCATAAGAAAAAGAGTGGGAAGGGAAAGAGGACTAAATTAGGCCTCCGGGACGCACACTATGCGCATAGGCATAGGCTACTAATTATGTTTTTTTTAATACCGCGTGAATGGAGAGGTGGGCGACACCTAGTCTTTTATAAGAATAATACTACTAATAATTAATTGAAAGATTTGTTTGTAGTTGTTATATTAAATTCATGTACAATACATTACTAAGTTTCTTAACAAGAGGTAGAGGGCAATATCGATGGGATTTGTAGTGAAAGTTCTCTAACGGACAAAGTGAATTTCAAAGCAGCCATCGTAATTGGCCGATCAGTCGCCGAAACGAAAACGTGGTTGACGAACGCGTGGGTCCGGGGCTCACAATTCAATTACCAGAGTAACAGATGCTCTTTACATCGGAACACAATCAATTAAAACGTCAATCACAGATTAGAGACATTTAAAATTTGTTTTACGTTCATTTTAAATGTATATAACTTCTTTTGTTTGAAAAATTTAAATGTGTCTACATCAACTATTATTTAATACAGCGTTATGATTACGTAGACTTTGTGGAAGATCGCCAGATTTTTTTTATTTGCAACACTCATCGCTATATTAGACTTAATTGCCAGAATGACTTGTCAAGTTATTCAAAGATTTTACGGACGGTAGTTTTAATATCGTGACTAGTCGTAACCCATCAATTTTAAGCTAGAAACGTTTAATTAATATGATTAATTGTTGAGATCTCTTAATTGAAGTGTCAATAACCAAGATGCATTAAGAAATAAGAAGGAAGGATCACACTAATCAATGAGAAGTTAGTATGATTTATTTTATTTAGTATTTATGTTTTAAATACAAAGTTCTTTTTTAATATATTCATTCTCTTATTTAATTGACATTCGTATTAGTACTATGATTAAGTCTTAATTAAATTTTGTAATAACTACGTGGTTCTACTACAAGAATAGAGCAGATCGTAAGCAAAATACATTTCACTATTTTATACGTAACAATATTGATTGAAGTCAATTGATATTTTCATTTAACATAAAAATACGGTAACCGCAAACTTTGTTTACTTATTACCTTTTTTATTTCAAAAAGATATCGTAACATAACGAGAATTTGTTTTCTTTTTTAGTTATGGCTTCCGTTGTAAGTTTGCTGTCAATTAAGTTCAGGTTGCGTTCGATTCACCAAGTGGCACTTACTTCTAATGGCTCGGTATGAAGTGGTAGCCACATAGAGGGTTCGTGTATTGGGAGAAATGTAATAAGGGCTGTCGAAAGAGGGCATTGTGTTTGGATGCTATTGTATCCGATGTGAAAGTAAGCTTGGATACCAATATGACTTTAACAATGTCGCATCGAACTGCACTTGTCTTTCTGATTTGGATCCTGATTAAAAAATTTCTGTTTGGTAACGTCCAATTTTTGAATGATAATTCCTTTGTTTGAAATTTTTGTAGGTTATTATGATTTTTAAAGCATTGTTTGATATATATGATCTATTGTTTACTTTTACATTATGTTCATTTTGTTTTACCTTTTGTTCATTTTCGTTTTTTTTGTGATATAGTCGAACCATTGTTTCAGGTTTAAAAAGCTACTGAAATTTACCTACGCAACAAGCAAAATACTCTGTAGAAAGCCAAGCAAAGAAATTCATACCATTAATTAACGTATCGGTTTTTACAAAACTTTGTAGTTTAATTAAACGTACACGGAGTTGTGAATCTTTGAAGTCAAAAGAAAAGTTTCTACGAGCCGTATAAACAATGTCATTGTTGAAGCAGCAAAAATGGTGAGTGATTTTCTTTTAAATTAAATAGACATAACAAAGAAAAGTAGACGTTCTCGAAACCAAAAGTTTTGGCGTGTTCCGATATTTTTAATTGTATGGGCTCGGGCTCGGGCTAAACTGCCAATGGCGTTTTCAACTACTTTTGTTGTTCCTGGTTTTCTACTAACCTATACGTATTAATCATGAATATGTGCTCTTGACAAACTTTACCACCAACTAACATGATCCTAATTTCATTATTTTTAATATTACTCCTAGTTTTGCACTCCTTAACTACGCAGAACAAAAAGAACATTTATAGCATTTTACGTATACGTTGAACGCAATCTGTTTTCGACATGACTGTACCCGCTCAGCACACCAGCTGGCGCTGAATTGGTAAATTTATTTTTTTAAATGCGTCGCTTAATGTATGCGCATAAAAGGATCCAATTTTATATCGTAACAACTTTCTTTTGAAATTGAAATTAAAATGTTACGTAGGACACGACAATCCTCCACATATGACATGTACTCCTCTATAGAATATCCGAAATGAAACAAAATTTGAAACGGAGCTGTGCGAAGGAATAAGGGGTATGCCACACGGCTGGATCAGCGCGAATTAAAAACTGTCTAAAAGCCGCACTCCAAGTTGTTTAATGTTTATTTAAGAAATCATTTGTACAATTGACAAACTCAACCTAAAATAAGTGACCTCCTTAGCGGATATTAATAGGCAGGGTGCTGTTTTATGTCGGAAACATTTTCCTTTATGTTACTTTACCCCATTAGCCGTGTGACACACTCGCGTTGTATCGCCGATTCACCACCGCCTGTGTTGTACTACCTCGGAAACTGAGAACGAGTGATTTTATAGTTGAAGTAAATCGCTTTAGCTCCTCTGAGACAGACAACAATAAGATATATTTTTATTTCCCTCCTAACCGGGTAACCGTATGTTATTTTGATAAGAAACTGCTTCGGGTTGTTTCCTATACCCTTTGAGACTGATGCAATAATATATAACAACATTGTAAAACTTGAATTTATATTGTGTACGATCCTTTCTTTTCGCATGACTCTTTTCTTTTATCTGTACATAAATGACATTTGAGATATTGTATAAAAGTGGTTATTGACTTCCAAATTTATATTACATCGTTAGAAAATAAAGGTATAAATTCTTCTCTATTTATTTTTCATGACACATAAAATATTTACTGTAATTATCAATGCATAAAATTATAACAATGTCTACTGCTTAGTAAAGGCAACATTAACATTTATTACGTTTTTTGTTGAAGAGCAATCATTTAAAAAAAATACTGTAAACAAACAGGCTAACTACACTATCTCTGTAACTTCACGTGGTGATATGAACGTGAAAAGTTTTTTTTTTTACATTTATTTAGAAACATTACGTACGAGAACAAGTGCTACGTAACACAAAGTTACATTCAGGCGCAGGCAAATCGCAAGCCATTTTTCCCTCAGGTGCAATTACGAAAACGTTTTCTTAGATACCGTTCTCACTGGAAAATGTAAAAGTTGAAAAATTATTTTCATGTCACGTACTTGCAAATGGAAATGTTTGCATTATTTTAGTATTCGATTTGATTTTAAGTAGTTAAACTAATATTATATCGTAATTAATTTAATTTATTCCAAAACTAAAAACGTTAACACGGCATAGGCCTTATCTCCAAACGTTATACTAGCTGTCACCTGCGACTCTGTCCGTTCGAAATTAAAAAAAAATGAGTAGCCTAAGTATTCTTCCAGACTGTGTTCTACGTCAAATGCCAAATATGGTTAAGATTCGTTAAGCCATTCCAGATATACCTTCTATCAACCTTCCATTCATCAATCTAAACTTTTGCATTTATAATATTAGCAAGATTTTTTTTAAATTATACCAGTAAACCATATTTATTCTACAATTTTTGCATTACATGAACTTTCAGCGCGGTCTAAAAGGTCCTTATATTTGAGTCCGTCATTTTTGAAGCGTTTCCCCGCACTCCGCTAGAGGGCGTTTCTCACAATCCTCGGGACAATGATCTTTTGACTGGCGCGAGTCAGGTGAGAGGTTCAAACTACGCGGAAGTGTTTTAACCTTTTTCCTTTTTCAAAAACTGCATAAAATTGGACTGCAAGAAACATGCGATTACCACGGAACAAATGAAAATAGTGTAATAATAAATTATAATAGTAATTTCACTCTTAATTAATTTCACGTCTTAATTTAATTAGGGTTAGTCAGAATAATAAACTGGTGAGGGAGGATTTATAATTGTTAAACTTTGACACTGTTAAATGAAATTCAATTAATATAACAATACGAGCGGTCGTCCGCGACTCCGTCCGCGCGGATATAAAAACATAATTAGTAGTTATGTGTTTTTCCAGACTATGTCCTATACATATGCCAAATTTCCGTTCAGCCGTTGTGGCGATACCTTCAAACAAACATCCATCTATACATACGCATTTATAATATTAGTAAGAAGTAATATTAGGTA